AAAATAATAAAAATATATTAAATTAATAATTCATAAATTTGATTTTTTTATATGGTAAATATCTTCAATTAATAAGTGATCTTTTATAATTTTTAACCGGCAGTGTACTAGTACGATTATATTGTCAAACTTTGTCTTTATAGTTTTCGACACAGAAGAAATATTTTCTTTATTATTTTCTTATATACGCGCGGATATGCACAAGTATTATACATAGAATATCGATTCCCTCGTCTTTTAATCACAAAAATAGATTATGATTAGTCAAAAAGGAAAATCAAGGTGCCCACTGACTCTCGTCAATAGATTTATTTAAATTTGTCTTTTCGCAAGAATTTTCTTTCTCCTGTATACACAGAACAGATAAATTCGCCGTAGATTTGATAAGAACAGATCGATAATTATTTTGAGCCGAGATACTTAATTCCGCCCTGTCTTTTTATCACTTTCCTATCTATAAATCAAATTGTTCTAAAATAAAAAAAGAAAAAGTCAGATCGAAACGTTTTGCACATCGTACGAGGAGATTACTTGAAATTTCTTTGATGACGCTCTGAATGAGATATAACCGCAAGAATTTTTCCGTGAAAAAACTACTTCAAATATTTTCTTCATATTAACGCCAAATTATTCTATATATTGTTGAGAATTTTAATTTGTTGTAATTTATTTAAAATCTCAGTTTTCGTTTACAAAGATTTCCTTTGCGTCTTTATTATATTCTCTTTTGTTAAATATACGAAGTATATCAGGTTTATGGAGTAGTTAGATTCGCCATTAGAATTTCCTGCAGTAGATACTCGGATATCCTGTCTTTCTCTTTCCCAGCGAGGTGCTGAAGCTCCATTAATATCGAATCTATTTGCACGAAGATACCAACTGGAATATTTAAGTTTACACTTTAAATCACACCCCCGAGCGAGTGCCAACGGTGCGAACGAACCTGGAAGCGGAATCGTGAGAGGATGATGGATGGAGAAACGGCAACGAAAAAGAGAGAGAGAGAAAGAAGGTGAGAAAGAGAGAGAAAAGATGAGAAGGGATGAAAAAGCGAGCACACGGAGCCACCTGTCGCTCCTGTCGCACTGCTGGAGACAGCCTCAGCAAACACTTTGCGAACGTTGCGACGGCCGCGGCGGCGGTTACGAAGCTTTGTTCCGCGAAGAACTCGCTTCGTTATCTTTAAAGCAGAACCATCAAGAGCATCTTTCCTTCTTGAGAAGTTGACTCGCCCTGCTCAGCGGGCGATGCGCCGCTTCGGCCATTTTATTTTTCGCCAACTTATCCATCTTTGCAGTTGTCTCTTCTCAGCTTTACTTCTTCTTCGCGCCTTTATATTCTCTCCTATCTTTATTTGCTCTCCAACTTTCTCTGTTCTCTCGCTTATTGTTTCAGATGCACTTCGTGAGACAACAGATTAACTTCTTCTGAACTGTAGAGAGATGAATTTCAAAACATTCTTTTACAAAGTATTCACGTTACACTATCGCGGATATCATAATAATCTCTTGTTCTAAAATTACTTTTGTTCGATACATTGTTAAAGATTTTTCCTAACGTCTTTGATTTTTTATTATGAGGAGGAAAAAAGTGCAGCGAATAAAATAAATGCGGCAATAAAAGAACTAATAAAAATGAACATATTATTGATTTGTCGATGTATTATCTATACCTTGCTATATAATGCTATTTAAAAGTGTATTTATATGAGACACAGCACTCCATTCCTCAGAAAGTCCAAGTGTCTCATTTTCGTCTTACCTTTTTCCTTCACTTTAGTTTTCACGCCGCTTTTTTCTCCTGCATTATTTTATCTCAACTTTCTACCTTAAGGCTCTTCTTTCAGTCTCGAAGGAGATCCTTTATATCTTGTACATATAGTTCCTTATCTGTCCCCTTTTTAATATTTTAACAATATTGCCATCTCATATTTCACATCAACGTTAACGATCATAGCGTTATTTTTATTTTTTATTTTTTTATAAAGAGTCTCATCAATTTTTATTATTTTTTATCATGCTGCCATTCTTCTACCACTGCATATACTTGTACTGCACATATATTGTTTTGTACTTGACTTTGGTTATTGACAGATTTTACAGTAGCAATTTGCCTTACTATTTGCATATACTATTTGTCATTCACAGTTCTTTTTGTTAGTTTAAATCTCCATAATGTTATACGTTTTGCAATAAAAAATTATTATTGTTATTATTTTGCACCATATTTTTCTAATTACTGTTAATTTATGTGAATGTAATATCTTTCTTTATTATTTCTATATTCTTTCATATTTATTTTTAATTCGTTTTAAATACTTATACGTAACTTGAAGATAATTCACACACACACACACACACACACACACACACAAAATCGATCAGAATCTACACTTGTATGTTGTTTCAATACAGTTTTGTCTCAACACAACTGCAATAACAACGTGTTTACGAATAAAATCTGATAACCGTCGTGTTATGCGGAATTTCCAAGATAGCGAGCTTTTGTTCTTTTATCTATCCCTTTCCGATTTACTAGTTCTCTTACTTTTAGTATGCTTCTATTCGTCGGCCATGTTTATCTTGTACTTCTCTCTTATCCGCTATGAGCGAACGCCATTGATTTTTCACCGCAATAAAAATGGCCCTTCGCCCAGCAATCCGACTACCACGCACGTCATTTTATAAGTTTACAAGTATTATCATCATCTCCCCTTAGTTTGCTGTTCTTGTTCACCCCACATTTTCCTCGCATTCCATGCGATTTGTCTGAATCCGTTTACGTGATTTTCCATTCCTTAGCCACTCTCTTTCATGCAATCCTCTCGTGTGCATGAATGCACGTTTGCGCAATCCTTTGTTACAGATAACGACATTCGAATGTCGGCTTTATCGATGTACCTTGTAACATTATTGAGATCCTTGCATTTTTCTTCGCGTTTATTCTCCTTCCTACTACTGTTTTCCCATGATTTCTGAAGCTTGTTACCTATTGAAATTGTCAAGATGCTGAATCAGTAATTATTTGCAGACTTTGTAAGACTTTGGATGTTCTACTCTTAAAAAAATAAAAAGTCTAAAACGATAAATATTCTTCTTCCTGCTCTTTTCTTTTTTCTTTTTAAATTTATCTTTCTTATGGCACGCACACATGTAACCAATCTTTATTACTGTTATTATCCAATTATATCTTCTGTGTCGTATATTATTTCCGTTAGATTATAACATAATCTTCCTGGATTGTAATATAAATTTCTCTTCTTCTCTCTTTCTCTTCCCTTTCACTACTTTTTACTATATATTCCACTAGTAACTATATTTTCATTAACTTTGCGCGCATCATTTGCTAATTTGTTCGCAAGCGTGAAATTTAAAGATCAACGGATCGCCATCGTTATTTTTCCATTTTTATCTCTCTCGCCATTTTCTCATTCTTTTTTTATCTATGTCCCTCCTGGGTAGGATAGCCAACTGTCCCAAATTTTGCGGAACATACTGAATTTTGGCCCTTTTAGAGGCGTTCCGAAAGAATATTCTTTGTTTACCCTCTCTAATTTTATTTTATTGAGAATTTTCGAACTCTAGAATTACCGACGCATTTCATATTTTTATGTTCGCTTTCTTTATGCAGAATAAAAATCTTTCTCCAAAATAAAAGAAAAAAAACTATGAGAAAAATGAAAACACTGTATGAAAAACCAAAATTGAAGTTCCTCCCTAAGTACTCAACCACATTAATGGTGACGACACGTAATCAGTGGTAAGAATTAGGCATGCAATCAGCGCCACCAGTCGGCGATCTGGCGTAACCGGTAGCCACACACATGCACGCACGCATACAAGCAGATGCTGTGTGCTCGCTTCAGCGAGCCGAGAACGAACGAAACAGCGAGAGAATGTCTATCCTTCTTGCTCTAATCGATTGTTTTAAGCAACCGAAAATGCTTTCTCGGCAATCTCGGTCGGTCAATGTGTATCAATAAAGAGCAAGGGACATTCTAAATAACATATAAGTTTTAATAAATGTTATAGTAATAGTTCCCCCTTCCATTAATCCATTAGTATAAATCGTGTCAAAACGCAATAGTTTATGAAATTTAATTGTTTACGATTTTTTATGCGTTAAACCAATTCTACATACAGCAAGCATTGCAAGCTGATCTCAAGTTTGTTGCGACAGCTAACCTGAAACTTGCATTTTGAAATCAACGCTTCATATTGGCTGTCACAATAAACTTGCGATTGGCTTGGAACTATAAATATAAACCCATAATTGGCGTAGAACTAACTTTATATTCCTCATTCATAAACCCGAGTTAGTGTGCTCGAGCTCGTAAAATGTGAGATTGGAACGCTGGAAATCGAATCCTGCATTTTTTCCTTTTTTTCAGTTTTTTTTTCTTAAATAAGTAATCAAGTTAATAATAAACGTATATTAGGCTAAATATATTTTATATAATTTTTGAAATAATTCGTATATGGAAATTTTAAAGCAACAACTGTAGAAAAAAATTCATTTCGCTTTTCAATTAACAAATAAAAAATTATTTAAAAATTTCATAAAATATAAAGACTTTTATTAAATAATATTGGCATCATTTTTATTATTTATATTAATCATTTCACTTTTTGTTTCACTTTTGTTCATTGTCAAAATTTT